TTTCCAATACTAGCGCAGTGTTGGCGTTGAGCATTCGAGTGCGATAACACGAAAGCAGATGTTTGCAAGAAACGGCTTTGCCAGCTTTGCATCTTGCAACAAGTGCCGTGGCAAAGACAGCCATCAATAAATGCGTTGTCGCGCTGTGGTCTCTTTGTGGCGCAAGAAACGCCCCTATGACAGAGATAATTGTCCATGGCTCGCCACCGGCGACGGCTGCGACTGGATTGAAAACACGTGTAGCCGCACCAACCATGGATTTTTTTCAAAGACTAGCGATTTCTATTTCTTTTTTTTAGTTTAGTTGAAAATCGTGAATTGAAAGCTGCAATCGCTTTAATGCCGTAGCCCTGTACCAAGTTTATCCGTTTTTTCAGTTCTTGTCTTTTTTTTCGTTCTTTGGTGATTTTAGGGTTTCGTCTCGTTCTAGTTTACTTTAGTTGACTTTTCATTGCTGTCGCGCTGCTTTCCCCTTTGGTCTTTTGGACCCAAGATCCAAAGATAGAAAAAATATACAAAGCAAAAAAGAATATGTGGCATCTTCTCTGTAACAAAGAATCAAGAGATAAAAACGGATGTTTTATTATTGCTGGCAAACAACACGCATTCTTGGTTGAAGCACCACCTTCAGACTATTTTGTTCCAGTCGCTTTGATGGCGAGGAAGCCTTCGTGTCTTCCCGCCGAGCGGGGGACAAGAAGAAAATACTAATATCAATATTATATTATAGAGATTATACGAAACAATGGCATAATTAATTTTTTGTGTGTTTTTATTTAATTTAAATCTGTAATTTCATAAAATCATTAATTCCCAGAATTCCAAACTGCCAACCCGAACCGCAGATAAGCACTAGTTGAATAGGGGATTAATCTATCAATACACGAATGGATTATACTAAGTATAGTTTCTTAGTTTAGTTATACCATGGTTAGGGGATAAACTTTTTTTATATAGTTGGATTATAGTAGCCAATAGTGAAATGTATTCCTGGAAAATCTAGGCGTTTGCCGACTTGCCCATGGCAGTGTGCGCTGCCCTTGCTGAAGTATGTGGACCAACTGTCGCCATCACGTGCGCTAGTGGCATGTTTCGTGATATTTTTTCCCGTAAATTGTTCTACATTGTTCTACATTGTTCTACATTATTCTACATTATTCTACTATGTTTGCTTCCCCGGGTCAATTATGCATGGTTATGCCTAATGTGTTGAGAAACAATGACGAACCTATACGCACACAGACAGACAATCATAGAAAGGCCATGATTTTTCTGAGGGTTTTCTCTTCACTTCGAACAGCTGGAGGTATCTATGTCTGTGGCGGCTTCAATGGGACCAGCTCGACTCGACGGGCTGAGTTTTTGGATCTTCAGGTGGCGAGTCGAACCCCAGGGCTGGGATGTAGGAAACTGGATCTCACAAGGGGGGCCCCAAAAAGCAAAGGAATCCAAAACAGATGCGCTGGACTCACTGTTCAGTTCCCTGTGTGGTGGTGCTTTTGGACAATCACCTTGCCCTTCATAGGTAGCAGCCGAGCTTCCAAAGGTGAGGCTTCGCGACAGCCAAACACCCTGGTCCTGAAGCACATCCTTGCACCTGCCGCTGGCAGTGAACTCTACAAACGTAGTGTCGATGTTGGCTAGTCGATTTAGGGCTTCTCATCTCCTGTGTTTATTCAAACTGTCTAGTATGATGGTTAGTAGGATGACCTGCCCACTGGAACTTAATGTTCTAATCCTCCCTGTCACTGCCAAGTTTCCAAAAGTGAGGCTTTGCGAGAGCCAAACACCAAGGCCCCTGGTGTTCGCTTTTTGTGCAATGCGTCCCTGCTGATGGCCGGGGTCTGTGAATAGGGATATTTTCGCGGAAGTTCTGCGAAGGAGCGCGCGGAAGTCAAAGTGTATGTTGAAGGGGTTGCTTCTACATGCTCGTGACATGCGTGAGCATACCTTGCTTGGTGCGTTCTCATAAGATCTTGCTAGGCTAGCACATGTCTTGGCAGCTACACTATAGCATATGGTTTGTGTTACGCGAACGACATATGTTGCTACACTTCCACATGTTGTGGCATGCGTAAGCATACTTTGCCTGGTGCGTTTTCATAAGATCTTGCTAGGCTAGCACATGTCTTGGCAGCTACATTATAGCATATGGTTTGTGTAACGCTAACGACATATGTTGCTACGCTTCGACATGTTCGTGACATGCGTGAGCATACCTTGCTTGGTGCGTTCTCATAAGATCTTGCTACGCTAGCACATGTCTTGGCAGCTACGCTAGCATATGGTTTGTGTTTTGCTGATGGCATATGTTGCTATGATTCCACATGCTCTTCTTTTGTTTCTTTTTGCATACCTTGTACATACCTTGCACAACACGGATACATTAGTATGTTTGGATATATAGATAGATAGTCAGACAGATAGATATGGATATAGATATGGATAGTCGATGTGCTTGTAAAGAGAAGCTGCTGACCCGCATGACTTTGACTGAACATATTTCGCCTTAACGAAAACGTATTGTCTGAATTTTGAATTGGCCCACGCAGTACACAATGATGAAGCTTGGAAAATGCCTCCCAAAGATGAAAAATGTGAAAAACACAGGGTTTTGAACATTTTTCAGCTTCAAAATGGCTGAAAAAAATTGACGACAGTTGCAGGGCGGCGAGTCAGCCGATTCCCTTGTTTTTCAGATGTGTGGCATAGGTTGATTGTTTTTTTTTTTTCCGGTGCTGATGGTTTCTTAGACCGTTTTGTTTGGGTCAACGGTTTGTTACATCAGATTGGGTCATACAGTAATATGTTTCTTTTCAGATAATGATTTAGACGTGCTACATAGGTTGATTGTTTGTTCATTTTTTTTGCAGACCGTTTTCTGTGGATGATTGTTTTTTAGATCGTTTGGTTTGGGTCAATGGTTTGTTAGATCGGATCTGCGCCGTTGTGTTGGGTCAATGGTTTGCTAGATGGTTCTGCAGATGATTGTTTCTTAGACCGTTTTGTTGGGGTCAATGGTTTGTTAGATCGAAGTTGCGTAATAATGTTTTTGATCCAGCTAACTATAGTTATAACGACCATAAACCTTAGTTATTGTAGATATTGGCACCAAGTGGCCACGTCAGGACCTGGCCCTTCATCTTCAACATCTTCCTTGTCACTTTCGCGTGGCGCCTCGGTGTAAAAGGGTGGAAAACTTGGAACATCTCCAAAAATTTACCGATAATCCTCCAAATATCACCAGGAAAATGACTATCAACAACTATTGAATTTTTATTAACCTCTATGAACCACTATTAATCACCGTGAACCCCTCTCCACTATCCCAGCCATCCTTGGCCAGGCTTCACTCACAGCTTGGGGTCAGCCTTGGACCACCTTTGCAGCACCCAGCATTTGGCGCCTCGACGAGTGCCGCAGCCTGCGTCCCAACACTACCTGCAAGGCTTATCCAACAAGGAACGATCAGTGCTTCCTGTTGGTGGGATATATGATATATGAATATATATATAGAGTATTATAATGGGATAGTAACCATATAATTTAAGGTGATATAGTATATTATTTTGATATTATGGGAATATCTAACGAGTAACCAACAATAGGCATTTTCACCATGAGAATTGATTTGACCACCAAAGTGGGGATATACTTTTTTGATAAATGATGGTTGGTTGCAACGGTTGATGGTTACAAGCTGGTTTTATGTTTTGGGACGCGCAAACGATGCCATACAGGAATTTTGAATCTCAAAATGGGGCCTTCACCCCCCAGGTATGGCAATTCAAGTGGAGAAAATGATGATTAACGATTGGTATAATACACTCTATACGGTACATGTCCCATTCTTTGCACAAACTCATGTGCTGGTTTTGGTGAACTTGGTTTGAAGGAGTGTCCGTCGGACCATCTGCTAGTGGCCGCGACCGTTGAGCTTCTCCTTCCTCAATGGTGCTCCGGCAGCGTGGGTATAGCATCTATACCACCCATTCGGGTTGTAGTGATGGGGACCTCGTCTGATCCACTAGGGTTTGATTATCAGTTTGATAGGAACTCATAATATGATATCATCCGATTTCTTTAATTAGTTAAAGGAAAAATCTAGAGGAAACCATGCTTTTTACCACCAATGATAGGGGTTTCCTGTTCAACTCATCTAATGAAATCTGTATCAAACCAGCCAGTTGAAATCGCAACAGGCAATGGAGATTGCTGTTGCCCTTTTTGCTTCCCTGAGGCAATGCCGTGCTCTTCCGGTGGCAAGGCTGCCGCCCCAGCTGCTGATGAAATGGTCCGAGCTGTTGGCGTTGGGTCTGCGGAGCAATAGCAGCAAGAAAGTCCGGAAGGAGTAGAAACAACTGGAGGAGACCTGGAGTATCCAAAAAGTGGTCAGCTTGCTGGGTATCATTTGTGCTTAAACAGATTTGTGGAGGTTTCATGTCTACCAGTTTTCAAATCTTCCACATTCACGAAAACATGTATGGTGAGCAAAGATTGGGAGTATCTCCCACCAAGATGGGTTACGAAGGAAGAGCCATGGGTGAAAGCTAGAGAGTGGTAAATTTCGATCCTGAGTCAAGGACCATTTTATAACAGGTAGACGTGCTATTTGTACGATGCAAGTTCCAAGCAGAAATGGTATTTACAGAGTGTTTATTGAGAAACGAGCTGTAGACACCGCCGACATGTGAAGGGCAAGACAGGTATGTGCATCAGGTGTTGTGTGGCTCGAGATTTGATCTGGTGTATCTCTTGTGCATGGCGACCATATCCATTGCCTTGAACACAGCAGTCGGTGATCGAAAACATGGTCGTGCAATTGTTTCCGGCCTTTTGGCGTCCGATATGCAATGGGTATGGAAGACGGTGCCGATTTCCGCTGGATGGGTGCTCAATGTTACTTGGTAGCACAAGCAAGATTGAGGCTTTTAATGCTGAGGTTTGACGGTGTTGGTGGTTGCGCTGCACGTCTGTGGTGTTGTGGTGGTGGTGACGGAATGACTGAGGTGGTCCTGAAGGATGAGGCATCGATGGAGAAGACTACGGAGTTGGCGACCCGTTTGGGACAGCTGGGACAAACCAGGATCATCAATGGGGCGGCCCATGCCCAGCGGCAGGTGTGGGAATAGCGGGATATGTGACAACAGAGGAACATAGCAGTATGCAGCTCACATGGATTGAACGCAAACTATCTTTTGTTTATTGCAAAAGTAACAAGCCAACCTTGGTTCCAACGCATGCAGAACTATTGGCTGCACGTTGCATTACGCCGCAGGCAGCAGACATTGCTCTCCGCGAAGCAAAAGAAGAACAGCGATTGAACCTCATGACGGCGAAAAAAGCAGCATCGGTGACCACGGAACTCCTGGCGCTGCGAGGAACTGGTGGTTCGGCCAAGTCACGTGCCTTGTCGCAGGACACACAGCATGGTCCCACGCAGCAGGACGTGTCGAGTTGGGATGCCAGTGCAAGTAAACAAAGACTTGTTCTGTGATTTGTTGCTGTTGTTGCAAGACCTGGCAGTTGTGTGACCAAGGCCGCAAGTTTGCTTCGAAAGCTATGGCGTTGGTATCCGACAGCCAGAAGATGCAGGCCAGTGGTCTTCGCTTTGAGGATGCAAACCAAGATGACGAAGGTGAGGAGTCGGAAGACAATGAGGCGTAAAACTGCTGTGTGTGGTGATCATGATCATAGATCGAAGCCATGGTGATCACGATGAATGTTTTGGGCCAGCTGACAGATGTAGTTGGCTGCCAGTTCAAAAAGGTGGCATGCAGACTGGTCAACTGATTGTCATCGTGAGTTTGAGACAGTAGCACGGAGCAATTTCAGAGGCAGTGGTTATTGGTGAGCAAAAAATCATTGGAAAATGCCGGCTCATAAACTTGCGTAGGAAAATGCTGGTTCGTCAAATTGCTCTGTGGAGTTTGAACGTTGTACAGATGCAGCAGCGGCATGGGTTTCAGGAAAATGTTGTACAGTGTACAGGCCAGAAGCAAGACTTTTGAAAGGAGTCTTTATGCATGCAATGTTGTGTTTTCGGCGGAGTGGCGTCAAAGGACTAGTTTGAAGTTGTCGCAATGTAAGCGGGCATCGAGTTTAAAGTTTAGAGTCTAAGTTTTAGAAGTGTCACAGGATTGGCGCCATGGTATGCCATTGCCATGATATACAGATGTTGCAGTGCAAGAGCGAAGCCGATTGGAGGCGAATGGTGGCACGTTTCGAAACATGGCTGAATCCCAGCGCAGCTAACCAACAGAAAAGTGAGTGGTGGAAGGTTGGAAGTGTCAATGGGGGCATGCCTGATTGGAAGATGGTAATGTTGTCATCTATTCGCTTGATGAGAATTTGCACCGGGAATGCAACTGACTCTTATGTTGGGTTGATCACATACCGTTTCATGAGCGAAGGCACGGTGCAGACAGCAGACCAGATGCATGGATGGATTGATGGATCCGCCTTGTTGCATCATGATACAGCTTCTTGTGTGACCAATAATCTTTTTGGAAATCAACCGCCACGGCATGGATGCCAACATGGTTTTGGTGATTTTATCCGAAGGCTGTTGTTAGTTTTTTGAACTTTGAACCGGCAGGCTCTCAGCGCTTCCGATCCAGTCGCAGACACAACACAATCGTTGGTGATTAAGCCTGATACTGCGCAATGTCGGCATCCATCGATGTAGATTCGGACCGTGACGAAGCTGACAAGGAAGAGTGCCCAGGTGGGGTTGGAGCTGGGCAGATGTTCTGCGGACGGGGGGTTTGAGTTGGAGAAAATGAGGTAGGAAACGGCGGCCTGAGGTAGTTTGGAATCAGTGTGTGTGTGTGTATGTGTGTGCGTGTGTGTGTGTGTTTGTTTTTGTGTGCGTGTGTATATGGAAGGTCCACATGAGCCGATCGAGTCAGGCTGGGAGAATGGTGCAGCGGGGCGGCTTGAACCCTGTGGAGGTTCCCCGCAGAAGCGCTTGAGGAGGGGCGAGAAATGGTTTGTTGCACTAGTTGAATTTTCTTCCGCTGTAGCTTGGAGCTAGAAGTGGGGTTCGTGTTGTGTGCAGTTGTGGCAGGATTGCTCCTGCAGTTGTTGCTGCTCCTGCAGCTGTGGTCTGCACATCCGTGGAGGCGGTGTACATGGTACCGGCGGGTCGAGAGCGTGCAGTAGTGACGTTGACAGCTGCAGTGATAGATCTCGGGTTTTTCAAGACTTTGAATGGGTCCAAAAAAGGGAATGTGCGACATGTGATTCCAATGGTTTTGGCTTCGTCTGGAATGGCCATTGCTACGTCTTTGTGGAGCCCAGTGGCAGAGAAATGTGCCGAGTCCCTGCAGAAAGCAATGGAGCAAGCAGACTTCCCATATGTGGAGGTCAGCCACCTGGAGCGTGTCGAGGTGCCATCAACTTGTGGCACGGTCTTCAAACTGCAGAGCACGAAGGCCACTACTCTGAAGATCCTGTACCATGGTCCCCTTGTCATGAAACCAATGCGTGATTTGATGACCGTAGCCTTCAAAGATCTGAGTGAAGAGGGATTGACGGCCAACATATTGGGAGTGGTACGATCAGCAGGTGAATTGCGTACCACTCGGAATGGCATTGGGATGCGTTCCTATGAGCTGCAAGATGAAGCGGGCGTTGTGCTTCCGGTGACCGTCCATGGCTCGCAAGCAGACGATCTCTATGCTCGAAATACGTTGCTCGCCATCTTCTCTGTGGTCACCCAGGCTAGCCTGACTCCAGGGGAGGGCGGATCTGCATGGGTCTATGATGACCATATCATTGTGAAATGTGGATCAGTGATGCGTCTCGCAGATATGACATCTCGGGTTGACATAATGTGAGCGGCAGACGCTGCCAGCGAGACTTTTGACAGATGTAGTTGGCTGCCAGTCCAAAAAGGTGGCATGCAGACTGGTCAACTGATTGTCATCGTGAGTTTGAGACAGTAGCACGGAGCAATTTCAGAGGCAGTGGTTATTGGTGAGCAAAAAATCATTGGAAAATGCCGGCTCATAAACTTGTGTAGGAAAATGCTGGTTCGTCAAATTGCTCTGTGGAGTTTGAACGTTGTACAGATGCAGCAGCGGCATGGGTTTCAGGAAAATGTTGTACAGGTACAGGCCAGAAGCAAGACTTTTGAAAGGAGTCTTTATGCACGCAATGTGGCGTTTTCGGCGGAGTGGCGTCAAAGGACTAGTTTGACGTTGTCGCAATGTAAGCGGGCATCGAGTTTAAAGTTTAGAGTCTAAGTTTTAGAAGTGTCACAGGATTGGCGCCATGGTATGCCATTGCCATGATATACAGATGTTGCAGTGCAAGAGTGAAGCCGATTGGAGGCGAATGGTGGCACGTTTCGAAACATGGCTGAATCCCAGCGCAGCTAACCAACAGAAAAGTGGGTGGTGGAAGGTTGGAAGTGTCAATGGGGGCATGCTTGATTGGAAGATGGTAATGTTGTCATCTATTCACTTGATGAGAATTTGCACCGGGAATTCAACTGACTCTTATTTTGGGTTGATCACATATCGTTGCATGAGCGAAGGCACGGTGCAGACAGCAGACTAGATGCATGGATGGATTGATGGATCCGCCGTTCAGCCAGGATGTGGTGGCAGCATGACAGCGCGGCGGCGTTTGGCGAATACGCCGTGTTTTTCGAGAAGTCGTGGTGTTCTCAAAAATGAGGACCTGAAGCCATTGGACAGTTGTGACATGTTAGAATTCAACTTTACCCTGAAGGGTGCTTCGGATGTGTTTGAGATGAGATTTGATCATGAAGGACAGGACATAAAAAGATGGTTTAAAGACCGAAAACTGGAAAAAGTAGTATCACCACACCTGAATATTTCTTGGCAGACCTGCATGTGCATGGTGGCGCGAACGGGCGCACGGCCTTATTGCCATGTTGTGGGCGGTCAAGCTTTGCTTTGAAAAAACATCCTCTGAGTACTCAAATCTCAAATATCTGGTTTGCGAACTTCGCTAGCCATACTCGTAAACCCATATTGGGGGTTTCCTGAAATGGGGGTATCCCTAAATCATCCATTTATAGATGAATTTCATTGAATTTCCATGAAATAACATACATTATATACATTACATACATGACATACATTACATACATTACATGCATTACATACATACATACGTCAATACATACATACATACATACGTCAATACATACAGACATACATACATACATACATACATACATGTTTGAAGATGGTGGCTGGTAGAATTTTCGATGCATAGGTCAGGAGCTCTTACATGTTATCTTGTTTTGCATCGCTACGTTGTCGATGCAAAGGCTCATTCGGTCCCACTTTTTTGAGCGGCAGTGGTGGGTTCAAGGTTGTCGCCTTGTCTGTTGGAGAGTGGTGGACAATGGCCACTATCAGCGTTGCCATGAATCAGCCGGTGCCCACGAGACAACAGGCGCGTACAGTGATCTCAGCAATTCTGCAGCAAGAGTACCGTTTTGTGTTGAAAGTGGTGCCGCTGGCTGCGGGCTATCAGGTGCATGTGTCTTAGTAGCAGGAAGCTTTGTGCGTTAGAGTGCGTAGTTCTTCATTGCGATCAGTTGACAGGAGCAGTGAAGAGAGGAAGACGGAATGTAAAAGTTTGTGCGCGGGGGCTCGACTCAGGTGATCACCAAGGAAGATGTCGATGAAATCAAGATCCAGCAGATTGCTACGCAGTTGCAAGGACCTAAGGCAGGCGATTGGCAGAAGGATAGAGTGAGTATGAATGTGGTTGTCTTACCAGTATCACCGCACAAGTAGTACCGCACAAGGCAGTGGCGGAAGTGTCAAAATAGGAAACCTCTAGGAGGGGTTGGCTGTTGGCAGAGTGAATCCACCGATGGACCGATAAGTGCTTGGAACTTTAAGCTAACGATTTGCCTTTGTATCCGTTCATCTGTGTATCAGTGCATCCTCTCGTGTGACTTTCTCCTGCATTGATCTGCTTCGTTTCTTCTCTTCTCCTTTCTGACTTTCTCCATGTCTGATCTTCTTCCTGGCTGTGCTTTTTCATCTGTCATCATCTGTCCATATTGTCGGAAGTTTAACTTCCAAACTACCTTCGATGAGGTTATGTTTGTGTCAACTTAATTTGAATAAGTGACGCAGGTGGTCGTGCGTTTGCAGAGCACTCCCATCATGAGCATATCGGTGCAAGAACCTGTTCCATTGCACTTTGCGGGGGCCTTCGCTGGTGTGATCATGGACTTTAGTGTGATTGAGACGGCCGAGAAGGACAGCTTTTTGCATGTGTCTGGAGTAATTGCTTCTTCTGACCCTGGTTCATGGACAAGTTCAGAGGACCCGATCAAGAGGTTCAAGGTAGTTGACGGACATGGACGCGCGATTCCATGCGTGGCTTTGGGGGAGATTGCGAACGATCAGAGCTTTGGCCATGGGCGTCATGTGACGTTGTTTTACCTTCGAACTCAGCCTAGTTTGAAATCTGGCGAGCCTGGGGCATGTTGGTTGTATCAGGATGGAAGGGTGCTGTGTGTTGGGTTGAATGATTTGGTAGCTAAGGTGGTGTTGGTTTGATGCCAGATGTCCTATGCGTATGCCAGGACGCGTATATACACCAGCTCGACAATGCAGATCATAGCATGGAGGAAACCATTATGGAGGAGTTAGCGGTGTGTGCACCATCCTAGCGTTCCGGTACGTTATGATTGTCTTCATTTTATTTCCGTTATTGATATTGGTTCTTGAACATGTTTGCGGCGTTTGGTTCATCGTCCAGTGCACCTAAAGTAGAGTCCACGTGATCTTCTGGGAAACGTTTAAAGCGGTGTTGCCAAGAAGGCTTTGGCCGGGGTAGCATTTGGTTCAGCATGGAGAGCCCAATGAGGAAACTCAGACCGGCCGCGGTCGAGTGCCAAGGGGTCTCGGCGCGAATGTTGCGACTATTGGGGCGTTGTATGGAGTGGCACATAGCTCAATAGTGAGTCTTTGCGGGTCATTGATTTCTATGTCGCCAAGTATTTGCTCAGTGGGACGGGACAAGCGGGTTGCCACTGTTTTTTGGTTGAGTTGACGCAGGTTTACTGTATGGCACGTGTATGGCCTGTTGCCTGTTGCCTTAGTTATCTGTGAATGCACAGGGGTTGCGAAGCAGTGCGTCTGAGGCAATGATTGCCGATGCTTCTAGTGTAGTGGCGTTGAGCCTTTAGAATAAGCAGTGCCAGCACTTTACAGCTTTGGCGACGGCCTATGATCAGATGGAGGGATTTCCTATGATTCCCCTTCACGCAGTGCATGAGAGCGAATGAGTTTGAACAAGTACGGGTGTGCATAGCAGCCCGTTGTGAGGGCGACGGCTCCACGACAGGGCAGAAGTAGAGGCTGTGGTTCCAATCAACTTTGTTTCCAAATTTCTTCAAATATATTTAAATCCTGCTCACCCACAAAGACACCACCATCCCGGACGGGGAAACACCGTAACCCAGAAGGACGAACTAATCCAAGAATCGCACCAAAAAAGTGTCTAACGTCGCATAGTGCGTTGGGTATGGTGAGGCGGCTCAGGGCAGCAAACTGGATCGTTTGATTTTTAGAGAAAAAAGGTATTGGTGACTCACGAAAGTTTTTGTTTGCTTTTGTGCTTTGATGAGATTGCAGCCCGTTGTGAGGGCAGCTGCTCCACGACAGGGCAAGACTATAGTTCATGTTACTTTGTTGTGGGTTTACCATGGATATTTCTTTCAATAAGGGATGCCAGGCCAGCGGATTTACTAGGCGTTTGATTTACTCTTAACGTATCTCTTCGATAAGTGAAGCCAATCCATACCAGCTTGTTGTGAGATCAGCTGCTTTACGATAGGGCAAGAGCATAGTTCGTGTGAATGCATTAGACGGTTCGCGTTGGAGGGAAGGCGTTTTATGAACATTGTGTGTTTAGCATGTTATGGAATAGATTGTGTTTCGAAATTGCGTAGATAACATATTTGAAGCATGATTAGCGGAATAGTTTGAAAGGAATCCGACGCCCTTGTTATAGTACTTTGTTTGAAGATGGTGGCTGGTAGAACTTTCGATGCATAGGTCAGGAGCTCTTACATGTTATCTTGTTTTGCATCGCTACGTTGTCGATGCAAAGGCTCATTCGGTCCCACTTTTTTGAGCGGCAGTGGTGGGTTCAAGGTTGTCGCCTTGTCTGTTGGAGAGTGGTGGACAATGGCCACTATCAGCGTTGCCATGAATCAGCCGGTGCCCACGAGACAACAGGCGCGTACAGTGATCTCAGCAATTCTGCAGCAAGAGTACCGTTTTGTGTTGAAAGTGGTGCCGCTGGCTGCGGGCTATCAGGTGCATGGGGCATGTTGGTTGTATCAGGATGGAAGGGTGCGGTGTGTTGGGTTGAATGATTTGGTAGCTAAGGTGGTATTGGTTTGATGCCAGATGTCCTATGCGTATGCCAGGACGCGTATATACACCAGCTCGACAATGCAGATCATAGCATGGAGGAAACCATTATGGAGGAGTTAGCGGTGTGTGCACCATCCTAGCGTTCCGGTACTTTATGATGGCTAGTTCTGGATGTCTCATATTTGCAGCAGGCGTCGATTAAAGTCACAGTTGTCCTTTGGCTTTGCTTGGGACTCACGTCTTCCAAGAAGGTACTTTTGCTTATCTTTGCTCTGAACTCGCTGAACATGCAATTCTTAAATGACCCTAGATATCCACACATGCCTATATTGGCCCATCCTTGAGGTCATGCACCGTTTGGCACCGTTTGCTAGGTGCTCGAATGCAACACGGTCTGCCTTGAGGTTGGGAGACTGCAATTTGTTTACAGCGAGATCAGACTGTTTAATGGAGCG